ATGAGATCCATGGCCAGCCCACGACTTGAGTCCCACTGGCTTCCAGTCCCTGGACTCCTCATCCAATGGCTCCTCATCCTATGCTCTCACCGTGTCGTCGGAGATCCGGGACCGCGCTCGGTGCCGCGTGGGCTCAGGCTGCCGAGCGGCGCTGCACCGTGGTCCCCTCGAGCCCAGCCCGCGGCAGCGCCAGTGCCATGGCGCTGCTCGCCGCCTCCCGCGCGGCGCGCAGGCCGCTCGCGGGCGCTGGCCGCACCGCCCCGCTGGGTGCCAGGACCTCCGGGCCTCCCAAATGTCGGCGGCGAGCCCTGGGGGACCCACAGGCACCGGGCGCCTCGAAAACCTGGAGGCGGCGGTTTTGCAGAGTTTTCGGCCTCCTCGGGTCCCTGACGGAGCCTCGGGAGAGCGGACGAAACGTTTCGGGCTGAAGAACTGGGCCCGCGGAAGTGGTCGAGACGCTGGATGTCTGGGAAGACATCGCGGTGGCGACGTTTCGGGAACTTCCAGGTGTTCTCGTTGGTTCTCGGGGGTTTTCTCGTCTCGGGGTGCTCTAGTAGCTGCGACTCGTCTAGAGCTTTCAGGGGGTGCCAGGACCGTCCTGAACGGTCGTAGGAAGCACCAGTTATTTCCCGAAAACCATGGTGGGCCTTCTCAGAAGGCTCGGAAGGCCTCCGGCCTTCCCAGAAGTTTTCTGAGCCTTTTCCGACGACATGGGCGACTTCTCAGAAGACCTACAAGGAGGAGGAGACGGAGGAGGAGGAGGAGGAGGAAGAAGAGGAGGAGGAGGAAGAGGAGGAGGAGGAGGCGGAGAAGGATGAGGAGGATGAGAAGGAGGAGGAGGCGGAGCAGGAGGAGGAGGAGCAGGAGGAGGAGGAGGAGGCGGAGGCGGAGGCGGAGGAGGAGGAGGCGGAGGCGGAGGAGGAGGAGGTGGAGGAGGATGAGGATGAGGAGGAGGATGAGGAGGAGGAGGAGGGTAATGCGGAGGATGCGGTGGATCATGATGATAATAAGGGGGAGGAGGAGGAAGACGAATACTAATAATAAAATTAATAATAAGAATAATAGTAATACGAATAATAAGAAGAGCAACGCTAATAATACTGATAATGTTTAAACTAATGAGAGTACTAACAAGAACACGAGTAACGTTTCTAATGATACAAATAATACGACTTACACTACTAACACTCACACTATTACGCAAATTAATGCTACTAAGGAAATAAATCGTTCCACCAGAGAAGTAACACTATGAGTTTTAATATGACTATTAAACATGACCCTACTAATACTTCGAAGACTATTCATGGGAGCAAGAAGGTAGTTCTATGAAATCGATGAATACGACAAGTACGAGTAAGCGTGCTAAGACGAACCATAATATTACTACTACTACTTCTAATAAGAAGACGAATAATCATATTGGTAGCACTGTGAGTAATAATACAACTATCAGCACTTGTAATCATAGTACAAAGACAACTAATCATAGTACTACTTACAGTAACATTATTGATATTACGACTAGTATAATACGTATAAACCTCATATACATACTACGAATAATCAGAATAATAGCAAAACTGACACGGACAATACTATCACTCATACTAGTATTGATAATGGTGGTGTGGATGAAGGTGATGATGATAATCAAAAGAATAATATTGATAATAGTATCAATCATAATCATAATGGTAATAAGAATATCAATGCGAATAATACCAGTACTACGAGTAAGACGAATAATAATATGAAACGTAATCATACATATGCTGATAATACTAATAATAAAAGGAAAGGAGGAGGCGGAGGAGGAAGCGGAGGCTGACGCGGGGGCGGAGGCGGAGGCGGAGGCGGAGGCGAAGGCGGACGAGGAGAAGGAGGAGGAGGAGGAGGAGGAGGAGGCGGAGGCGGAGGAGGCGGAGGAGGAGGAGGAGGAGGGCTTCTGAGAAGCTTCGCCGCCACTTTTGTCCCTTGGCGCGCGGCCGAAGAGCTGAGGATCGACGTGCGGCAGGTTCGTGCCGTGCCGACGCGGCGGAGAGACCCCGCCGCCCGCCGCTGGCGTTCTCAAGGTGGAACGCCGCCGGTGGCCCAGAGGCGGGCAATCTGGAACGATCTGACGATCGAACAGCTGCCGATGCTTCAAGCCCAGACTTCCTCACGCTGTGAAACAAGTCACGACGGGAGGTTTTTCGTTATTGTCGGCCTCCTGAGGCCCTTCTGGGCCTCGGGACCGTCAAAAAACGACTCAGGATGAAAAACGGGTCCCGGGGAAGGGGTCCAGACCTTTAGGGGTCGACGTTGTGAAACAATCTTGACGTCGGGGGTTTGGGAGGGCAGGGCGAACAATCCACGCGGTGTCAGAGATCAATGCAGGGGTCGTCACGACACGAGCCTGCCGTAGATCGGGGTCGGAGGTTGGCGCCGCATCGCCGATGCATCGGCGATGCGACTTGATGTGTAGATCGACTTTTTTCACGCCGGCGGCGCCGGTGTATCACCGATGCATCGGCGACGCGGCGCGATCCTCCGACCATCTATTCGGGCCACAGTTGGGAGGCCTCCACAGGGGTTACCACGAGGCCGTCATCGACCATTTCAGCAACCCCCGCAACGTTGGGGTCTTGGATAAGAACGACCCCAGCGTGGGCACTGCCCTCGTAGGCAAGGCTGCGTGTGGCGACGTCATCAAGCTGCAGGTGAGGATCGAGGACGGGGTCGTCCAGGATGCGAAGTTCAAGACGTTCGGATGCGGCTCAGCGATAGCCAGCTCCTCCCTCGCAACAGAGATGATCATAGGTCAGCCCGTTGACGAGGCCGAGAAGCTCAACAACAAGGACATATCCTCCCACCTGAAGCTCCCCCCGGTCAAGATCCACTGCTCCGTCCTTGCGGAGGAGGCTATTCAGGCAGCTATCGCCGACTACCGGCAGAAGAATGGGATAGAAAAGGTGGAATGATTGACCTTTGCTAGGCTCAGAGGGTATCCGCTAGTCGGATCCCGCTGGGAATGGCTAGCGCCTTTCCCATTACTTGCCAATTGCAGGTGGCCCAGCAGTTGTGGCAGTCATAATCTATTCAGTCTTGATTGCGCAGAGGGCCCTGTCGGAGTTGTGTCAGGATTTTCGTTTCAAGTTTGTAGTGTAATTGCACTCGGCCGCAAGACTAGTGTGAGTTATGGCATCCCATGTGCGAGGAAAAGCCCATCATCCATCGTCTCAACGCCCTGCGCTGCATCGTCGCCTGCGTGGGAGGGGCATACCCCTCGCACCCCTGCTGCGTGACCAGGCCTGCACCAGAGCTCCCCCGACAGGCTGCCCGAGACGGGGCAGAGCGCGCACCATGGGCGTCTGTCCCCTTCGGGCCTCGGCTCTGCTCGCTCCGCCCCGTCGCTCCGGACCGCCGCCGCACTCTGCGCACTGCTCGGGTGCGAGAGCCCGGAAGCTCCGAGCCCGCCTTCGGCGCCTCTCGGCGCACGCGGGGGCAGGCGCTCGCTGGCTGGGCGTCAGCACCCCCCCCCCCGCCCGGACCCTTCTGGCCCAACGCGCTCCCACGGCGGCCCGCTCCCCGGTGCACCGCGGAGGGCTGCGCTGCAGGTCGAAGCACATGCAGCGCGGCCGGTGCGAGGAGAGCCCGTGAGTCACCACCCACCAAACCACCCCAACCCAACCCGAAGGCTCAGATTTACCCTCGATTTCCAGTGGGGGGGGGGATCGGGAAACATCGAAAAAACTCATTTGGCACCCTTACCCCCCCCAACCCGAAATTCGGGTCTTCGGGTTGGGTTGGGGTGGTCTGGTAGGTAGTCAGTGAGAGCGCGAGCAAGGCCGGGTGGGCATGCATGCCCGCCCAGTACTCGGAGGCCGCCCTCGCCTGCGGCCTGGGGCGTGCCCACACCCAAGCCTCTACCCTGAAAGCTTGATTGATGAAGCACATCTTTTTAAACACGCTCTGTATGTCACGTCGAGCCCTTTTGTGATGTGTGTGTGTGTGTGTGCCGCCCACACCAGGGCAGTTCAAGGGATCGCCGAGAGCAGTGAGGAGCACACCGTGCTACCAGTGCTCTTCTCATTAGTGGTAATCTGTCGCCGTGCCGTTTGTTCCGACGCGCGGCCTGTTGTCTTGGGGGGCGCGCCTCGGCTTCCAGGGCAAGCGCCGCCTGGGCGCGGTGGGCTCGCCGTGGGCTTTGCCGCGGTGCCGGCGTCGTTTGCTTGGGCGCGGGACGCAAGGCTTGCCGTGGGTTTGCCGTGGTGTCGGCGTCGTCAATTTGGGCGCGTTCGGGACAAACGGGCGTGGCAATATGAATGCGTGTGTCATTTGCGGGCCTGTCATTCCCCCCTCAGGTGCTTTGGACGTCGCTTGCCAAGGTGACGCCCTTCCACGCAGGCGATCGCAGGGATGGGAGAGGAGGAGGAGGAGGAGGAGGAGGAGGAGGAGGAGGAGGAGGAGGAGGAGGAGGAGGAGGAGGAGGAGGAGGAGGAGGAGGAGGAGGAGGAGGAGGAGGAGGAGGAGGAGGAGGAGAGGAGGAGGAGGAGAGGAGGGAGGAGGAGGAGGAGGAGGAGGAGGAGGAGGAGGAGGGAGGAGGAGGAGGGAGGAGGAGGAGGAGAGGAGGAGGAGGAGGAGGAGGAGGAGGAGGAGGAGGAGGGAGGAGGAGGAGGAGGAGGAGGAGGAGGAGGAGGAGGAGGAGGATGCTATTCTTTCTGGGGGCGCGCATCGCTCGCGGGCTTGGGCTGGGGCTGGGATTCGGACTCGGGCCAAGACTCGGCCTGCGCCTCGGGCTTGGGCTGGGGCTTTGGGCTCGGGCTCTGGCTCGCACTTGAGCTCATGTCGGCGAGGCGTGGTTTCGCCGCACAGTCGCCGTCGGTGCAGTAGTGGGTTGGGAGGAGCACACGAGGAGTCGGCGGAAGAGAAGAAGGGAGGGTAGCCAGCCTCACTGCTCCACCAGGCGCGATTGTCGTTATGTTTTTCCCTGTCTCTCTCTCTCGCTGTCCGCCCTT